ATAAACAAAAAATGCATTCTAGCTTTATGTTTTTTAAAAAATAGAAAGACATGAATATTTAAAATAGAAATAAAAGAAAAAAAAAAGATAATTAAAAGAAAGAAAGAGGAAGAGTACCAGTAGCATCGACCGAAGTTCCATAAAAAACTTAAGAAGGAAAGCGTATATGAACTTTCGGAAAAGGAAATTATGGAAACAGATTTGGAATTTGGTGAAGGTTCATTGTGAGGGTTCAATCGAAAGTTTTTGGATTGTCGTGCCCTTTGATCATGATTTATTCCTGGTTTTAGCGTGAATGAAGAGGTTTAAATTTTGGGTTTTAGAGGAACATGGGTTCTTGAAAGGTAGAAGTTCTCTTTGCCATGCACACCAGGTGCTCGATGAAATGCCTGAGAAAGATATGCTGTTAAGGATACACTTGTTTGAGTGTTTTTTTTTTTTTTTTTTTTTTTTTGTTTTAATCTTTTACTCTTCCTCTTTCTATTTCAAAATAATAATCCTATGATAGAAAACTTATATCTATTTTTTTTAAGAGTAATATAAGAAAATACATAAATTATCCTAAATAATTAATTTGAGAAAAAAACCAAAAGATGACAATCATTTTATAATAGAAGGAGTAGTATTTTAAAACATAAAAAATAATTAAAATTATTAGATATATATATATATATAATCATTAATTATATAGTAATCCGCAAGGAACCTAAATTCAAAAGTTAGTCTTTTGACAAAAAAAAGAAAAAAACAAAAATCTTCCTAAAGTCATGGTTTATAGTCAAATTGTAAAAAGGTATAGTTCCATTTGTCTAGAATTATATAATATTAATTATTAAATAAAATTAAATATTATTATATTAAAAATATTTTTTATTTAATATTTCTATTTTAAGTGCAATAAAAATTGTAAAATAATTATTCTAAAAAAAATATAAAAAAAAGTTTCTAGCTTTATGTTTTTAAAAAAATAGAAAGACATGAATATTTAAAATAGAAATAAAAGAAAAAAAAAAAGGATAATTAAAAGAAAGAAAGAAAGAAAGAAGAGGGGTACCATGTAGCATAGACCGGCGTTCCATCAAAAAGCTGGGTAGGAAACCATAAATGAACTCTGGTAAAAGTAAACCATGGAAACAGATTTGGAATTTGGTGAAGGTTCATTGTGAGGGTGCAATCGAAAGTTTTTGGATTGTCATGCCCTTTGATCATGATTTATTCCTGGTTTTACACTTGG